TGGGCACCATATTTTAAAATTTATAAAACCACTAAACACTTATACTATGGAGTATGAAGTGAGCAGGGATCGTCCCAATAGATCTAAACAATTATAGGTTTTTCAGAATTGAATTCTACTTTAGTGCTTATGTGTTGCTAAAAAGGGTTTTGTTTGTGATTAAAGCTAATTTGAAACTAAATGATTGCAATAAAGAAATAGAATTTAAGAGATTGGAAAGAGACTTAGGGTGTAGGATTCACCACTAAGCACATTCCCTAACTCACTATTATTCAACTAATTGGGGAAATAATTAAATGTAATTCTAATGTAGCTAATAGTTGCAAAGAAAAGTATGAAACATCAATTTCAAGCTTGAATTGCCTACCTAATGACGAATAAGCTAAGTGTAGTGCAATTCACCTATCCAAAGAATGGTCCATCAATTCAAGTTACAATTCTAGCCTACATCAATCTAGAGGATAATGCAATTGTGGGAAAAAGTATGGAATTCAAATATAAGTATGGATGGTCTACTTACCTAATAATTAAATTGCAATTAAATTAATTAAACTAATTAAACATATATTTAAAACTAATTAGACAATAAATTAACCTAAACATGTAGTGCCATCCATCAAATAGAAGTAATTTTCCATCAAATTGATTCACAACTACAATTAATTATCACCATGCATAGACATCACAAGAATCAATTTACAAAGAATTCAAGTGTAAACTTTGTTTATTCATCAACCACACATAAGACAACACATGATTAATACAAATAAACAATTGGAAGAATTGATTCATATATTTCAAGCCTATACAATAATTACATGCTAAATCCCCAAAAAGTATGAAAAGAGAGAGAGAATATGTTACATGCTTAGGGTTTATCCAACCCTAAGTAGAAGAATCAGCCACTCATGGTTGATGGAGTTGAAGATAGAACAATCTCCATCCTTGAATTCATCATCTCCGAACTTTTCTTCCAAACCCTAGCCCGTTCTTCGTTTCTCCTCCTTCGCGTCTTTTTTCCAGAAAAAGATATCGATACAGATCAAAACAATAAAACTTAATAATTAAAATAATAAAAATAAAACTTTCCAAACTAATAAAACCCTAAAAATAATGGGCCTATTTCCCTTAAGTAACAAACTCTATTTAAGTCCAATAGAACCAAAAAAATAAACCCAAAAGACAAAATCCCGTAATGCTGCCAAGGCCTGGGGGATCGATCCCCTAGCCTTGGGGATCGATCCCCAAAGGGCATTGTTAGTTCTGTAAATAGTGGGGGATCGATGCCCCACTCTGGGGATCGATCCCCAGGTGTTGGAAATCTCCTTTAAGCTCTATTTTAGCTCCATTTTGGCCCCGGGCTAATCCGTTTGCTTCTTAATCTTTGGGAACATCATTAAAGGCCTGAAAAATGTAGAATTGACCGCTTTTGAAGGATGAGCACACTATACGAACAATGGTTGCGGACTCTTCTTGCCATTTTCTAAACTTTTCCTGAATGTCTTTGTTTGTGTCCAAAAAGGCTTTAATGAACCGAAATTAGTCTGTTTGAACTATATTGACCTGAAATTGACAAAAATATAAATTTGAACTAACACATGAAAATAAGATAAATGCAAGGACTAAAATACCATAGTTTAGGTGTTGAAATGTGCAACATTTATGCACTTATCAAAAATCCACCTTATTAAACGAGGTTTTGTTTCCTTCTTAGTCAATAGGTGTCGCAAAGCAGCATGATTAGAATAGACAATAACTTTTGACCCTAAGAGGTAAGACCGAAATTTGTTAAGAGCATATACTATGGCAAGTAATTCCTTCTCGGTAGTGGAGTAATTCAATTGAGCTCCCGAAAGGGTCCTGCTTGCATAGTATACAGCACATGGAAGTTTTCCAACCCTTTACCCCAAAACTGCTCCCATGGCATAATCAGAAGCATCACACATGATTTCAAACGATAATGACCAATTGGGAGGTTGCATAATAGGAGAAGATGATAACAAGTCACGCAATTTATGAAAAGCATCAAGGCATGCTTGATCAAAGATAAAAGGAGTTTCCTTGGCGAGAAGATTACACAAGGGTCTAGCAATTTTGCTAAAGTCTTTGATGAAACGGCGATAGAAGCCGGCATGACCTAGAAAGGAGTGAATTTCTCTCACCGTAGAAGGTGGAGGCAATTCAGAAATGAGCTCAACTTTCGCTTTATCCACCTCAATTCCCCTTTTTGAGTTGACGTGACCTAAAATAATACCTTCTTGAACCATAAAATGGCTCTTTTCCCAACTAAGAACAAGGTTTGTTTCACGACATCTGATGAGTGCTAAAAACTGCACATTTAAGCCCCATAAGCTTAGGTATTCTAGGACCTTTATCTATCTTACTTTCCCGTTTTAGACTAATTTTGTATTATTGCCTTTTTTAGGTGCTTATCCCCAAAATAAGCTAATTCAACCCAATAAGAGCTTAAAACAAGCTAACTGAAGCTAGATGGAAGAAAGGAGCAAAGTGGAAGCAGACTGAAGCAAAGTGTGGAATTCAACAGGTTCGATCGATCACAAAAACAATTCGATCGATCGAAAGTTCATCGATCTAGATATTTTAAGATGGATCCAAGTTCTGTTGTCCTTATCTAAAGATCCCACAAAGTTTGATCAATCCAACAATTCTCAGATTGATTGAAAAGATTTTATCTTATCCTGTTGTACCACCCCACCTACCACTTTTGTCTCTTTCTCCAAAATATCTCAGATCTGTCCTTATCCAAAAAGGCGCCGCCATGGGAGGAACGATCTAGCCAAGTTTGATAGATCTCAGCTCAGTTTGATCAATCACAAAACAAGTTCGATCGATCAAACCCTCTCAAATGCGAAAAAAATATATTTCCAGCTCATTAAAAGTTGTCTCATTGTGCAATCATTGGAGGAGCCCTTGTGTACGAGCCTAAACCATTGGGTGTGACATTTGAGCTTCCTATATAAGGAATATGAGCAACTTTTGTGTAGGGATTACACAATACACAAAGACACAATAAAGAGCATTTAGAGATAGTCTTAGAGATGAAGAAAAGAGAGGAGCTAAAGACACACTCTTGGAGGCTTTCCATCTACTTGAAGAAGAGGAGCATTCCTACCATAGAGATAGCCCTTGAGGGTTGGAGGACACCATTCATAAGTGGCTAGACATCCTCTTGGGGATAGAGTTAGCCCTAAGCATGCTTTCTTTACCTTGATTTATGTATTTTTGAGGAGATTTGTGTTGTAATACATGTTTTGACATCTTTATACACATAGATCTTGTTTATTCAATGATTTGTGTGGTTTAATTCTTCCAAGTGACCATTTCATTCTATCCGTATGTTTATGTATGCTAGAATAGATGTTCATGTGCTTATCTCTATTTCTTGTGTTGTTGATACATGTCTATGTGTATTGATGCTATAGATCTAGAGATTGTCAAGATATAGTGTTGACCTTGAATCAAAGGTTTTTGATCATCAAAATTCATTAATGATGTTCTATGATTACTAATGTCTTCTTGAGTGAAATTACAGAGCAAAGCATTCATCAAAACAAGCACTACAATTCAAGGACAAAACTGAAGAAGCAACACCAAGGCATGAACAAAGGACTAAGCAATCAAAAGTCAAAGTCAAGTCATCACAAGACATCAAAATGGGGTTAGCTAGGTTGGTGAGTTTCTTAGGAAGCCTTGTTAAACTAGATATGAACACCTTGAAGCTCAAACTCTCCAACATTATGCATATCATTCATTCACAGTGTCTAAGGAACAAAGGACCAAAGTGTAGATAATCATCTAAACAAGTTCCTGAAAATGTAGGTCTATTTTGGTCTACCGAAATGGAATGGCTAAATGAATCAGTCTACCGAAACAAAAAATACTGAGAACAATGACCAATCTAAAGAGTTATTTCGGTCGACCGAAATAACTGTGAGTTTTACTTTGGTCTACCGAAACAAGGATGTTGAGATTGATGAAATCATTTTAGTCGACCGAAATAGAAAAGGGCCTTACTTTGGTCTACCGAACCTAGAGTACTGAGAGGATGATCTTCAAACCTTAAACCATTTCGGTCAACCGAAACAAAGAAGGGTTCCACTTCGGTGTATCGAAACAAAAGTACTGAGAAGATGTTCCAATCTCAAAACAATTTCGGACAACCGAAACTCAAGGGAGTTTTACTTCGGTCAACCGAAGCTGCGTATTTCAAAATTCAAACGTGTATTTTTGTCTTAGGATGTGTGTCCAACAGCTAGAATCATATCAGACATGTTTGGAAGTCTATTTAAAGGCTTAAGAGCTTCATTTAAATGTTATTGCTTTTCACCAAGAGAGTATACTGAGCAATCATATATCCTTTCATCATTATACACATACTTTCTATCATCATCAAAAGGTATTGAGCTTCAAGTTATTCATATATACTTTAGAGTGAGCTAAATCTTGTACTTCAGATCTGAGAGAGAGATCATCTTGTATTTCATCTATATATTTTAAAAACTTGTAAGAGCTGGTGTGGCTCAAGGAAGACTAAGAGAAGGTGTATCTCTTAGCACTTAGAAGCTAAAAAAAGCTTCTTGTAAGAGGTTTACTCTCCACCCGCAAGGAGAAGCCATAGTGAATTGGGAAGTCTCAAGAGGGGTCTTGAGCCGAGGAGTAGGAGTTTCCGAACCTCGCTAAAAATCATTGAGTACATGTTTGCAACCTCTTTCTCTATCTCTATATTTATTGCTTCTTCTATGTATTGATATGATTCATCATAATTGCTAACTATTGAAACTTAAATTCAAATTGTATTATTCAATATCTGTTAAAGAAATTGTGTTTGTCTCTAGTTGGTTTATTAAGATTGAAAAATTGACCGTAGTTTGCTTAGACTCTATTCACACCCCCCCCCCCTCTAGAGTCTACACTTGGGCAACAATTGGTATCAGAGCAAAGTCTCTATTAAAAAAGCTTAAGTGTTTTAGAGATCGATCATGGCAAACTTAAATGGTCACCTTCTAAAAGAAGGTCAGTCCAATACTAGACCTCCTTGGTTCGATGGAATAAATTATGGCTATTGGAAAAATAGAATGATAGATTTCCTCCAATCTGTAGACTATCAAATCTGGTTAGTTATTGTTAATGGACCTTTTGTTCCAATGAAAGGATTTGGTGCTGAAAGGGTCCCTAAGACTAAAGCTGAATGGAACACCGAGGACTATAAACTTATCTCCTTGAATGCCAAGGCCAAAGTCAATCTAAATTGTGCTATAAGTCTTAGTGAATATAATAGAGTCTCTACCTGTACCACAGCTAAAGAAATCTGGGATAAACTTCAAGTTACTTATAAAGGAACCTCACAGGTCAAGGAATCCAAAATTGATATTCTTATGCATCAATATGAGTTGTTTCGTATGAATGAAAATAAGTCTATTAGTGCAATGTTTGTGAGATTTACTGATATCATTAATGGCTTGAAACATCTTGGCAGAACTATGACTAACTCTGATCTTGCAAGGAAAATTCTAAGAAGCTTACCCGAAAAATGGGATGTAAAAGCAACGGTAATCAAGGAATCTCACAATCTCAACACACTTGAGCTAGATAAACTTCTCGGCTCCTTTCTCATATGGTAAATCACTCTAAAAGATAGAGAAGGAGATCATCATCGAAAGAAAGAAATTGCTCTCAAAGTCTCTTCAAGAGAAAAGGAAGTTGCCAGCAATGAAAGTGAAGACGATGATCTAGCTCTTATCACTCAATCCTTCAAGATATTTCTTCAAAGGAAGAAATTCAACAAGGGAAGGTTCAACATGACATCTCTACCTGTTTTCACTATAGAAAACCAGGATACTTTAAAGCTGATTGTCATGCCTATAAAGAGGAAAAGAAAAAGAAAAGAGCAATGCAAGCCACTTGGGAAGATGACGACTCAAATGGATCCGAAAGCAATGAGGAAAAGGCTATCCTTTGTCTCATGGCTAGTAGGGATGAGGTAAACTCTAATTCTAATTCTTCCTCTGAATGTGAAATGTCTTATGATGAATTAGTTGATACATATAATGGATTACTTGATGGTTTTAAAGAATTGCATGATGAACTAGGTAAAATGATCAAAAAAATGTACTTCTCAAAGAAGAGAAAAAGTTATCGTCGAAAATAAATTCCAAACTCTTCTAAATGAAAATGATCTTTTGAAAGAGGAATGCACCTTGCTTAAAGAAAAAGGACCACCTGAACTCATATCTGAAAATGAATCCTTGAAGTTAATCATTGAAGACCAAATTGATAGTCTAGCTAAGTTCACTCAAGGTACTAAAAATCTAGAACTTATGCTAGGTGCTTAAAGAGGTGTCTTTAATAAAAATGGATTAGGATATGACCCATTTGACAAGAAAGCATGTCTTTTGAATAAAAGAGAGTTTTTGGCCAATTACTTTCTTAAGAGCAAGAACAAAAATTCTAAATGCAATTATTGTAAAAGAATAGGTCATCTCATTCAAGAATGCTCAAAGAGAAAGCCTAAATTCATCAAGAAGTGGGTTCTTAAAGGAACATATATGCTCTTAGCTAACTCCCATGGACCCAACAAGATTTGGGTACAAAGTGAAAATAGTTGAAATCTCTTTTGTAAGATGGTTTCAAAGTCTCCACATCTTCCAAACACAAATGGTTTCTTGATAGCGGATGTTCAAGACATATGACGGGTGACCGCGCAAAATTCTCCTCTCTAGAAGCATACAACGGAGGAAGCGTAACATTTGGAGATAATTCTAAAGGCAAGGTAATTGGCATCGGGATCATAGGTATTTCCCCTTCTTTATCAATTGAACATGTCTTACTTATTGAAGGTTTAAAGCATAATTTATTTAGTGTTAGTCAACTTTGTGATAATGGATTTGATATGACTTTTAAATTGGATAAATGCATTGTTAAGAGAAATGAATCTCAAATATTTTGTGCTCCTAGAAGTGGTAATGTATATACCTTGCTCTTAGGTGAACTTCAAGAACAAGATGTTAAATGTTTCATGTCATCCAATGAACATGGTTGGTTGTGGCATAGGAGGTTAGGTCATGCTAGCATGGATTTAATCTCAAGATTGTCTAAAAATGATCTAGTCAAAGGTCTACCCAAGACAAATTTTTCAAAAGACAAACCGTGTAGTGCTTGTCAAATCGGTAAACAAATCAAGTCCTCCTTCAAAAGGAAAAAGGATTTAACCACTTCAAAACCGGGGAAAATTGCTAATCTTGGTGGTAAACTCTATATCTTTGTAATCGTAGATGACTACTCTAGATTCACTTGGGTATTCTTTCTTGCACGCAAAAATGAGGCTCATTCAATTCTCTCAAAATTTTGCAAAAGGGTCAAAAATGGAAAGGAATGTAAAATTAAAACCATTAGAAGTGATAGGGGTAGAGAGTTTGACAATCAAGACGTTGAAAGATTTTGCGATGAAAATGGCTACAATCATAATCTTTCGGCACCTAAAACTCCCCAACAAAACGGTGTGGTTGAAAGGAAAAATAGATCTCTTCAAGAAATGGCTAGAACCATGCTAAATGAACACAAATCCCCTAGATCTTTGTAGGCCGAAGCCATAAATACTTCATGCCATGTTATAAACAGAGTTGTTATTAGAAAGATTCTCAACAAAACACCCTATGAGTTATGGAACAAAATAAAACCTAATATAGGTTATTTCAAAGTTTTTAGATGTAAATGCTTTGTCCTCAATGATAAGGATAATCTAGGAAAGTTTGATGCCAAATCCGATGAAGGCATTTTTCTTGGATATTCCTCTAGAAGTAAAGCATATAGAGTTTATAACAAGAGGACCCTAGTTGTGGTTGAATCCATACATGTTGTGTTTGATGAATCCTCAACCTCCCCCACAAAAAGTGTGATGGACAATGATGAAGAAGTTGAACTTGAAAAGAGCACCAATGAACTTGATACAATAGGTCCCCTATAGAGCTTGAGAGGAGTATCAATGATCTCAACATAAATGGGTCTCCTATTGATATCTACCAAAGTTCTAATTCAAGTAATGATACTTCTGAAAATAAAACTACACCAAATGAATGGAAGTTAGTTCATAATCATCCCATTGACCAATGATAAGCACTGAAAAGTGCGTATTTAAATCCCTTAAGCTTAGGCAGTTTAGTACTTATATCTATCTTACTTTACCATTTTAGATTAATTTCGTATTATTTCCATTTTCAGGCACTTATCCCGTAAATAAGCTAACTCAGCTAAATAAGAGCTTAATTGAAGCAATTCTAGGATTAATCAAAGGAAAAAGCAAAGTGGAGAAAGAAAGAAGCAAATGAAGCCAAAGGTGGCAAGCAACAAAGTTCGATCGATCCAACTTCAAGGTTCGATCGATCGAACAATGATCGATCTCAACACTTCAAGATAGATCCAAGCCTTGACCCAAAAGCATAAAGTTCCGAAAGTTTGATCGATCCAACACCATCCTTCGATCAATCGAACACTTTTGTCCTTATTTAAATGATTGATCCTATCCACAGCTGTACCACCTACAAACCACTTTTGTCCTTTTCCCATAAATATCTCCCACAATTATCTCGTATTTGTCTTTTTCTAAAAAGCTCAGCCATATGGATCGATCCAGCCTTAGTTTGATCGATCTCACTTACTTTCGATCGATCGAACTTCCTCTAGTGCGAAAAAGTTAAAATTCCATCTCATTGAAAGTTATCCTTTATCTAATCATTAGGGAATATTGTGTGCACGACCCCAGCTCATTTTGGGTGTCATTTTGACCTACCTATATAAGGATAAGGATTGCTTTTTCAAGGGGAGCCAACATTACTTTCATATCATATCTCTTGGAGAGGAAGCTTAGAGGAGGAGAACACTAGAGACACCATTGGAGACTCTTCATCAACAAGGAGCAGATTTCAACCATGGAGTTAGCCCTTAAGGGTTGGGCATCATCACCATGAGTGGCTAGACATCCTCTTGGGGCTAGAGTTAGCCCCAATCATGCTTTCTTTATCTTAATCTTGTGTATTATTGAGGGATTAGTGTTGTAATTGATGTTTTGACACTTTGATACAGATAGATCTTGTTTATTCAATGATTAATGTGGTTTAATGCTTCCAATTGGTCATTTCATTCTATCCATACATCTATGTATGCTATAATAGATGTTCATATGCTTGTCTCTAGATTTTGTGTTATTGATGCATGTCTATGTGTATTGATGCTATAGATTTAGAGATTGTTAAAACATTGTGCTTAAAAGAATGCTCTTGTGATTCTCTTGATGGTTCATGCTTATCTTTTGATGGATTGTGCCTCTCCCCTAGTTTATTTTCATGCTAGTAGTGTAGATGTAATGTAGTTGTAGTGTAGTGTTAAATGAGAGGACAATCTATGCTTGTTGTTTGATGATCCAAGCTTTTGAATGCAATTAGCATATGTCTCTATCCTTGTGTTGTATTTGGATTATGAGCTTAATAAAAGGATTAATGACTTGTTTTGATTTATTGTGCCTTTCACATGTTGTTTAGACAATATATGCTTTATAGCTTAGATATATTGTGCCTTTCACATGATGTTTAGACAATACATGCTTAATTAGCCATCCTTGCTTATTAAATCAACCAAATACACACACACCAATATTGCAACCCACTATTTGCCCTCATTAATCACTTATTAACGATATAGAAATGCATTGCTTGGTGGTAATCTCTAAACCCCAAGATCTCTTTCTCTCTCTCACTTACTCTTAATTGCACTCTTTTGATATTACTTAGTTTAATTTAGTTGCTCTTTAATCAACCAACCAACCATTTGTTTGATCACTCGACCTACTTACCCTAATTGTGATTCCAAGACATTGCTCGATCCTTACAGTCCTTTGTCCTACGTTAGTAATAGTGTTGGTAGTGGTTTTTATAAATTTAAACTTGACCCGAAAAGGCTTTTCTTGAACCGCACATCCACTACACATCAATTTGGTGTACAAGGAACGGCTTCATAACTCGTCAAATTTTGGTGCTGTTGCTGGGGATTTGTTAATTAGATTTGGCAACGTCGGATTTGTGGAATTGATTAGGATTAGTACTCTTTTGATCGTGTTTTTACTTCATTTTTATTTTTCTTTTTGGTTACTTATTGTGTTGTTCTTATTTAATAAAGTGCTTTGTTAGAGAGGAAGCAAGCAAAGGGGCCATTGAGCATTCAATTCAAGCAAGCAAAGAAAGGAAAAATGTTAAAAACTTAAAAAAATTGCTAAGCTAAGCTTTAAAATTTGGAGTTGAAGTGCTAAAGGACCTTTGTGAGATTTTTTTTACTTAATCCCTTAGTTAAATCGTCGGCCCGCGTGGAGGCTTATTTTTTATTGTTTTGCATCATTGAGTTAAAGTATGGGAGTATGAATTTAATGTTTGTGGAAGAAGGCTAATTGCATTGTTGTGAAGGCATAATGTTTGTCATTCTTTGTGTTTGTTGTGTTTTGTATTGTGCATGCATGGGCATCGTTCATTGAGACCAACTCTTGCTCCTCTTGATTTACATCTTGAATCTATTGTTAGAAATCCTAGGGGAAGAGGAAGTTCAAATAGAGCCAATCTTTCAATGGATGACCATAATGATAATCATGTTGAGGACATTGGTCACATAGACCAACAAGGTATCCTTCATCCCAATATGCACAATGAGAACATACAAGTACCATTAGGCATGCCTAGGCCATTCATTCACCAACCACCACAACAACAAGGCCAAGTTCCATATGGAATGCCAAGGCCAATGTATGCTCCACAACCTCACGTCAAAAATTAAGGAATTCAAAACCAAGGTGTTCATGTTGCACCTCAAGTAGCTAATCCACCTCTTGCTTTAAGAGATCACTATGTACCTAATGAATACAATGCACCTACATGCATCCAATTGCCTCCATTTAGAGCACATCATTATGAAATTAAGTTACAAACCATTCAAATGCTTCCTAACTATCATGGACTTCCAAGTGAAGAACCTTACAAGCATTTGGATGAGTTTCTTGAAGTATGTTCCACCGTAAAATATACGGATATGCCGGAAGAGGTTTTAAGACTCAAACTTTTTTCATTCACCTTAAAAGACAAGGCAAAGTATTGGTTTAACAATCTTAGGCCTTTTTCAATCACTTCTTGGGCAGAAATACAACAAGAGTTCTTGAAGAAGAACTATCCGGTTTCTAAGACCAATGCCATGGGGACCTCAATTCGAGAATTTTCACAAAGGGATGGAGAAACGTTTCATGAGGCATGGGAACGCTTCAATGAATTGCTTAGGAAGTATCCACATCATGACATGCCCAAATGGCAATTAGTTCAATACTTCTTTGAGTGCTTATCGGACAACTATAAGGGTATGGTTGATGCTTCCATGGGTGGCTCTTACATTGATAGGCATGAGGATGACGTGTGGCGTCTCTATGAAAGTATGAGTGAAAATTCTTTGCATAGAACACTATCATCCAAGAATGGTAGAAATTCACAAGGTAAGAAAAGTGTTGGCTTACATCAAGTCGAACATTCAAATGAAATAGCCGCCGAAATGAAGTCTTTGTCTCAAAGGTTTGATCAATTTTTGATTAACCAAAACTCGGCGAACCAAGTATCTTCCTTCCCTAACCATTCTCATCGTGCATCAAATGAAACATGTATGACTTGTTCTAGTGTTCTTCTTCTACTTCTCATTGTCCTCACGGACAAGTGCAAAGTGAACCTAATGAACAAGTCAATTCGGCTTTTGTGAACCAAGGGAACAATCCTTATGGTACTCATTATAATCCAAGTTGGAGGAATCATTCGAATTTCTCTTGGAAAAACCAAGGAGAGGGCTCAAACCCCTCCCAAGGCGGTTTTCAAGGGAAGTACATTCCACCTCCACTTCAAAACCAAGGATCCCAAGGTTATAGACCCTATCAATCGCAAGGGAATCAATTTGCTAATTCTCATTTTCCCAACCAATCCTATTCCCAAGGTACTACTAGAAGTCCCGCCTTTGAAGAGAAAGTTTTGAATGCTTTGGGCACTTTAAAGGCTAACACTTAATTGCTTCATTCTCACTCTCAATCTATTGCAAAGCTAGAAATCCAAGTAGGGCAAATAACAAGCACTCTCAATGCAAGAGAGAAGGGAAAGATGCCTATAAATGCCCCACCTAAGCAACAATATGTTGTGGAAACCCATTCTCATCGAAAGGCCACGCCATTGAACATGTTAATGCGGTGACTACCTTGCGAAGTGGTAGGATTGTGAACAATCAAGTTGAAATGTCTAATGAAGATAGTGAACCGGCACAACCTCAAGTTGTCACCCGTCCCGTTTCACATCCCATTCCTCCTTCATTGCATACACATGACCTTGTAGATGAGAAAGTCTTAAAAAATGTGTTTGAAAAAGAAGTTTTGAAAAAGGATGTTGAAAAGGTTTTATTGAAAAATGATTTGAAAACTTCTTGTGTTGAAGAGAGTTCAACAGAAAATCTTGAAAAAGTGTTTGAACCAAAGGTTCCATTTCCGGATGCCTTAAAAGGATCAATTTCAAAAGAAAAGCAAAAGGCAAAAACCAATGAAATCATGGAAATGTTTAGGCAAGTGAAAGTTAATCTCCCACTATTGGATGCAATCAAGCAAATTCCGGCTTATGCCAAATTCTTGAAAGACTTGTGCACCCAAAAGCGGAAGAACAAGAGCCAAGCACCAAGAAAAGTGGTTTTGACCGAGCAAGTAAGCTCAATTTTGCAACATAACACTTTTCCAAAGTTTAAGGACCCCGGTTCACCCACTACATCATGCATTATTGGGGATCATATCATTAATCAAGCGCTTCTTGACTTAGGAGCAAGTGTTAATCTTCTTCCATACTCGGTTTATATCAAATTGGGCTTAGGTGAATTGAACCGACGTCGGTAGTTTTGCAACTTGCTGACCAATCCATTAAG